ACCGGTCTCTCCCCTGGAACCAGAACCACTCCCACTGCTGCCATCTCCCAGCACCCCACCCTTGGCCTTTGCGGTGGGTTAGGACTCTGCCCATCAGAGCTGACTGGGGGCTTCTGGGGAAAGTGTAGGCTTTGGCATCAGTTTGAACTGGGATGGAATTCTGGGTCTATCTGTGTCACTTTCAGTAAGGAGTAACCTCTCTGAAATTCAGCTGGAAATTGAGGGAAATGTTTCATTTACTTTGCTTGTTTATGTGTCTTTCCCACTAAGAGGGCTGACATTGTGTCTGTCACATTCATGGTTTTATCCCCCAGCACCTAGCACAGTGCCTGGTACTTAGGAGACAATAAATATTTGTGGAGGAAAGGAGAAAAAAATACCTTCCCAGTAAGATTGTTAAGTGCATTAAATGAGATATGCAAAGCACTGGGTCACACGTGCTCTGTAATTGATGGTTTCAAGCATCATTTACAGAGCATGACTGTTATCTCATCCATTCACCCATTGAAGAAATACTTACTGAGCACCTACATATGTCATGCAGGACAATACAAATGTAGAGAGCATAGTCCCAACTTAAAGTTGCTCAGTCACAATTTCACTTCCCTGTGTGCCATGGTGGTCGTAAGTTTAGAGCCTCGAGTCACATAGAGACTAGCCAGAAAAGAAGGCAGGAGCAGGGGTAAAATCTGGAAGAGGAAAAAGATTTTCTGTCAAATTCCCGTGGTCCATTGAAAGCTGAGTCCTGGGAGATGAGTAGATGATGAATTTTATCCCACTAGAGATATGCCTAGAATAGCTTTTTACCAGTCTATTTCCTGAGACGTGTCTGGATCATGCCTTCAGCTGCATGAAGGGCAGTTCAAGTCCTCTGAGATTTTAGGCTTCAAATCTAGAGACGGAAACCGACAGATGGCAGGAATTAGAAACAGGTGCTGCCTTATGGTCTGGCATTTCAACAAATTAAAGCAAGCATATCTTTATTTGCCTGTACTTTACGACTTTGAGTTCTGGGCAAAGCTTCTAGGGAAACTGGAGTGCAAATATTAAAAAACTAGATCGTTCAGGCCAGGCGCAGTGGCTCACGTCTATAATCCCAGCACTTTGGGAGGCCAAGGTGAGAGGATTGTGTGAGCTCACAGGTTTGAGAAAAAACTAGATTGCTGCATTTGAAACAAGGTTGGGGATTTTCGGGATTTTTCTATGTATGGTAAAATGCAGAGAGGGACAGAGTTAAGGGCATCAGTATGAGTGTTACTGCTAGTAACACTAGATATGAAGACTGTGGAATCTCGGCTGGATACAAAGATGTGAGAGAGACTCGTGGATTGGGAGAAAGCATATGAATGAGCGAACTGGGGGTCTCAACTGGATCTAAGAACCGTGGTTGGGGGAATAGTTGAACAAAACTATATGAGTATGTACTAATCTGCATACCCAAATAGCAAATATATACATTCCTTGATTAGGGTAGCCCCTGCGCGTATAACAAAACATTCCCAGGCCGGGTGCAGTGGCTCACATCTATAATCCCAACAATTTTGGATGCCGAGATGAGAGGATTGCCTGAGCCCAGAGTTGGAGACCAGCCTGGGCAACTTGGTGAGACCTCACCTCTACAATAAATTAAGAAAAATTAGCTGGGCGTGGTGGCACACACCTGTAATTCTAGCACTTCAGGGACTGGAGGTGAGAGGATTACTTGAGCCCAGAGGTTCAAGACCTCGTCTCTACAATAAATCAAAAAATTAGCTGGGTGTGGTGACCTGTGGTTCCAGCTACTTGGAAGGCTGAGGCAGAAGGACAGCCTGAGTCCAGCAGGTTGAAGCTGCGGTAGCCGTGAGCATGGCACTGCACTCTAGCCTGGGCGATGAAGCGAGACTCTGACTCAAAAATAATAATAAAAACATAAAAAATAGAAAGACATTCCCACTCAAAAAAAGGATATACACAAAATGATGTAGCTATGATACACTTTATTACAATATATTAAGCCCAAAATAACAAAACAAATGACTTTGGGGGAAAAAATAAATTCTGTACATGCAGTTTTGGCTTGATTGACCACAAAATATATATCAGCACACAAAAAAAAATTTAGGTACACTACATCTAATAAAATATTCTATGTACACAGTAGATAGTAAATAACTTTGCTTAATGTCCAGACATTTGGAAAAATCAGAAGAGTTGTGAAACAAGTTAAGTACATAAATTAAGAATATTGTGACCTTATTTATCTGTGCAAAAAAAAATTCATTCTGCAGTCTTCCATTTTCACGTACATTTTCTTTGACAGTATTAAGCCCCACATTTGAAGGATTAAATCCTTTCTTCCCAAGGCCTTGGGAATATCAGATTCTCCTTCAAATCTTCAGCTGTTTACAAAGAAGTAGATGATTTGAAGGAAAATGGTGGAAAACAAAGACAGAGATTTCACTTCTGTGCCACTTCTCCAGATTCCACTAGGAAAGATTCCTGAGTTGACTATCAGTGTATTCAGCTGGGTTTAAAAACCTAATACCTGATTGCTCAGGACTAACTGAGCTTTCATGCAGCCCAATCTGCAGCTTTATCATTACAAATCAGTTCCTGACATTAGCCCTGAGATTAGCTTAATCTGTACACATGAAATTTGGGAATTCATAACAGTGATGTTACCATCTTTAAATGTAAAATGCAAAATAAACCATTTATGTATGTAAACTGCTACATTTTCTCAATAATCACTTTTCCATGCACACATGAAAAATAAAATGGCGAAAGCAGCAGAAAAATCTGGATTTCCAAAATGAGACAACTATAAGAACTTTATATATCAAGGACATGAGTGGGGTCAGATTACATTGTAAGAATAATAGTTTATTATTTTATGTAACTGGACAGCAAAACCCAGCCCTATCTGAGAACACTGGTTCAAACTGTCTTCACAAGTCCTTCCAGGCCATGATTCTTCTGCTACAGTGAAAATATTCTTAATTAATGCAATCTATCACAGAACTACAAGTTTTTATATTTCTAAACAATGAACTTTAAATTATTATAGCAATTATTTAAATACACATGCTGTAAAAAAGAGAAAACAGCTGCAGTCTTATTTTTCCTATACCTGGAAGACAATATTAAGAAAAGCTTCCACAACTTCTTGATTCTTGAAGAACTAAGAACCAAAGAACTGAACATAATAAATAAATGTGCCACCTGGAGGCCAGGAAAAGGATCTAGAGTACTGAATAATAAACCCGTGTATTACAAATCCAGTATTTCAGTATTGAGGCTTCTTCATCTGAATACAGTTAGGTTTATTGCTATTATAAATAAGCTTCACATTAAGGCACCTGTCATTATCTAGGAAAAAGATTTGAATTCAAAACAAAGGGAATATGCATAGTTAAACTCTTTTTCTTTCATTCTGATGTCTTTACAGATATTACCAATTTTAAATGTTACTTTTTTGTATGGCAGCATATAAGTATCTTTGAACATATTACCTCAATTGAGTTCAAAAGTTTCTCTGATAATTTGATACTTTAATTAATGTATCTGAGACTTTTTTTTTTTTTTTTGAGTTGGAGTCTCACTCTGTCGCCCAGACTGGAGTGCAGTGGCTGCTCCCGGCCACCGCAGCCTCGCCTGCTGGGCTCCAGCGATCCCTCCGCCTCAGCCTGCCGAGTAGCCAGAATTACAGGTGCGCGCTACCACGCCCGGCTGATTTTTTGATTTATTGTAGAGATGAGGTCTCGCTGCCCAGGCGGGTCTCAAATCCGCGGGCTTAGGCAATCCACTCACCTCAGCCTCCCAAAGGCACGGGATTACAGGCTGAGCCACCGAGCCCGGCTGTATCTGAGACTTTAATTAAAGTGTGTGATACTATAGGATACGTCAGTTAATAAGGAAATAGGCAAAAGCAAATCAAGATGGATGGCAAAGGAGTAAATATAAGAGATATGACAACTTCTGAAAAAATTATACTGCAGAGTGACTTTGAGTAGATCCTGGCCAAGTCATTTAAGTTCTCTGGGCCCCACTCTCTCCATCTGTAATATTTCAATAATAGCTGCTCTGTACCAGCTCTAAGACTCTTGTGAGATCAAATGAGATGATGTAAAAACACTCAGCAAACTGTGAAGAGCTGCAGAAATAAGTGGTATTATCATAGGCCACAATATCTCACGTTTTTCTCTCTAATAAATGGAGTCATGACCTGCTTTTTTTGCATTCAATTGAGAACTCCAAGTTTTGATGAATTAGGCGGTCATGGAATGAATTGGGCAAAATTTCAAGTAAAGAGAAAATCTCTGAGTTTTAGCTTCGGAATTGTATTAAGCATAGTTTGCTGGGAGTGTGGAACCACTGTTTGATGGGGCTCAAGCTCCCTCTTGACACTTCCTGAAAATAAAGAGGGGGCTGACTTCTCAAAAACTTGGCTCCTGGCCTTTCCTCAGCCTCCCCTAGAGGAACCTCCATTTCCCTCAACATTTGTTATTGTGCAGCATACATATAGTAGTTCCATTAAAATATCTATCTCTTATAACCGCATAAAAGAGTTTTAAGAGCATAAAGAAACACAGCTGAAGTCAATTGCAGGAATACTCAGCTTGGCATAAATGTGAAATGGTTTGATAATCCCTACCACATTCTCCTTCTAGGTCCATAAGCCCTTACTCTATGGTTCAGGCCAGCTTTTTCCAACTTATGTTGGACCATTCACTGGGTGAGATGTTAACAGGTCTGTGCTAAGTAAGCTGGAATATGCAAGGTGAGATAGTTTAGATATTGCAGAATTTCTCAGTTTTGGATGTACTGACTGTACTTTCTAAAGAAGAATGAACTGTACAGCATTTCCCACACTCATCTGACTATAGAATCTCTTTGTTCACTCACAGAATATTGGAGGGGCTAAGAACTCTTAGAATAATCTTTGGAAAATGCTATTCTAGCCAATTCATCCTGGCTCTAAACATTTCATGACTAAATCTAGCAATAATTACAGTTTTCAATTTCTAAAGAAGACAAATCATTTTATTTACAAGGCCAACTACCATGATAACTTCCTGGATTCCATTCCATATTTATCTTTCTCAAAGCAACTAAGAACTAAACTTTCTTTACCACATACCAAGGAATTCAAAAAAGTTCCTCTCATGTTAAAGAGAATTATGATCTTTTTAAGGAAATCCTTATACTCTTTCCCAAACATTAAAAATACAAAAATCTAGTTCTGTAGCCTAACACTTAGAATCACAATTACTTTGAGAAGATTAGTGCATTTTATCAGAACATCACTGCAATTAACACTATACATAATAATAACAATAACTAGTAGTGGTGCTAATAGTAGTAGTATTGCCTAAGTACTTATTTTTTGCATCTTAACCCTCATAACCACTCTATGAATTTAGTATCTATTATTACTCCCATTTTAAAGAACACTGAGGTTTTCGGAGATCAACTGACTTGCCAAGGGTCACACAAAGGTGTGAGGGCAGAACATTCAACTTAAACCTGACATCATACTCCATGCTCTTAACCACTACACAATGCCATCTTACATTCCAGTGACAAAACAAAAGCATTTAGGTTACATTATTGTTGTTAAACAGGAAAATTATATAAATCGAAATGAATTGGAATTTGGTTTTGGATTTCCTTTTGAGCAAACACTCATTATCTTAAAGAATGTACTTCAAGTGTAAAAAAAAAAAAGCAGAGAAAAATGACAGGTTTTAGGGCTTTCAAAAAGAGAAGGTTTTTAAAAATCTGCATCCAAGGTAAAGACATTATCTGTGGTTTCTGTCATAACTGCAAAACGCTGATACTCTGAAACTCGTTTCTCAAAGAAATTTGTTTTTCCTTCTAAAGAAATGTTTTCCATAAAATCAAAGGGATTTTCTGCCTGAAAAACCTGCAAAGAAAAAAAAATGCTATTAGACATTCTGAGGAAGTCAAATTACCTTCCACAAGAAGGACAAAGATGACAAAAACAGAGCTCAAGTTTCCCAACACCTGTCTAGTCACCTATAGGATCACATCATTCCCCCAAGATCCTGCAGATACTCCAGGCTGACCGAGTCAGCACTCAAGCCTGAGAAATTTTAAGATGACTAAGATCAACTACTCATCCCTTAAGAAACTATACTAGCACCTCTGGTATTCTAAGAAATAGAAAGAAAAATAGATTACTTCAGGAAATAGTATATTGAATATTAGTCAAATGAAAATGTTCTCACAGCTTGAGCCAGCCAGTACACCATGGAAACTATGGGCATTTTCCTAAGTATTACTATCAGATAGTCACATATACATGATACCACAAAATGTTAAATTGGCAACAACCTACGCCACTCTAAATACATTTCTTAGTTCATGAGAGAATAGATAATCAACAAATTCACACTAAGGGACCATGACCAGGGAAGACAGAATAAATGTTATCCAGACTAACTAGATGTGTTCAAACAAAAAGTGGGACATATGCTGACAAGAAGCTTTTTTACTGCTTCAGAATTCAAGAAGCAGACTTGGAGATACAGTTTGATGGAAACCATTGGATGTTTTAGTGATTCACAAGGGGCAATGAAAGAGGATTTCTGAATTTAGGAGTATCCCAGCAGGAAACATGAATACCACAGAGAAGAATGTATTCTAGTAACCCAATTTTTATTTTTATTTTTATTTTTGAGTTGGAGTCTCATTCTGTCGCCCAGACTGGAGTGCAGTGGCACACTCATGGTCACCCCAGCGTTGACCTGCTGGGCTCTGGTGATCTTTCCGCCTAAGCCTTCCAAGTAGCCAGAACTATAGGTGCGCGCTACCACGCCTGGCTAATTTTTTATTTATTGTAGAGATGAAGTCTCACCAAGGTGCCTGGGTTGGTCTCAAACTTACGAGCTCAGGCAATCCACTCACCTCGGCCTCCCAAAGTGCTGGGATTAACAGGCTGAGCCACCGAGCCCAGCTGTAACCCAATTTTTAAAATGGGCAGAATATCTGAATAGACATTTCTTCAAAAAAGGTATACAAAAGGCCAATAATCTCATGAAAAGATGCTCAACACCATTATCCATTAGGAACATGCAAATCAAGATCACAGTGAGATACCACTTCACACCCATTAGGATGCCTATATTATAAAAAATAAAAAACAAAACAAGTTGTTGAAGATGTGGAGAAACTGGAACCCTCATGCACTGGTGGGAATATTAAACTGTACAGCTGCTTGGAAAGCAGTCTGGCAGTTCTTCTAATGATTAAACATGGAGTTATCATATGACCCAGCAGTTTTACTACTAGGTATATACTCGGGAGAAATGAAAATATATGTCCACACCAAGCTTGTACATGAATGTTCCTAGCAGCCTTACTCATAAAAGGTAAAAAGTGGAACCAATCCGAATGTCCACCAACTGAAGAATTAATACATTAAAATTTAGTATATCCACAAAATGGAATGCTATTTGGCCATAAAAAAGGAATAAAGCATTAACATGCTACAACATTAATGAATCATGAAAACATTAAGGAAAGAAAAGAACCACAGAAGGCCATGTATTATATGATTTCATTTATATAAAATGCAATATATCAAACAGGCAAATCTAGAGAGACAAAATTAGATTAGTGGTTGCCTAGGACAGAGGTGAGGAGGATGAGGGGAGAACAGACAGTGACTGACTGCTAATTGGGACAGTTTCTTTTGGGGGTGATAAAAATGTTCTAAAATAGATTATATATACATGCATATATATACATTTTCCTTTGAAGATCTCTCTGGTTGCATCCTATACATTTTGATATATAGTAATCTTATTGTACTTAATAATTATATAAAATACTCTATATTTTCAATTAATCTATATTTTCATTTTTAGTCTCATTTTAAATGACATATTTTTCATTTCTAAGTAGATGTAGCTGTTTGGTGTTTTTTGTTAATTTCTAATTTTATTGCATTAAAATCCAAGAGGCTTGAATAATTTCTGCTTTTTAAAATTTATTCAGATATTTTGAAGATCTGTCAAAAAAGAAAGTTTTACATTGTGTTTAGAATTTCTTCTGCTGGAGGAGACATGTTTTATATACCTACAGTTAGAAAATTCCCAGAAGAAAAGCTAGACCCAACAGTTTTCCAATAAGCAGGAGAACATGAATTTGTGGATATATGGATATGGTAGTGGATTAAAGAACAGTGAATTTTCTTTCAGGCTTAAATAAGCAAATTAATTTTTCTACAATACACATATTAGTAAAAGTTATGATGAACAAATACAATTTCTTTTAACACACATAGTTTATAAGCTTAAGGGATTTTACTAATACAATTATAAACTTGATTTATTAATTATCAGTAAACATAGGATCTTGCAACTAAATAAAATATAAATTATTTATTTTACCAAAAAAACCTTTTCCCCACCTGCCTCTTTCATTAAGTACTTCTGTGGCTACCAGAATATAAATACATTGGTAAGAGAGGTAATAACTAGCCCAATAACATGAATTTTATATGGCTTCTCATTAAAAACAATTTAAACTTACATTTCTATGTTAGGAAATCAAAACCTGTACTTTCTAATCATGATACAGTACATTGTGAATTTTTGTGAATGTTCCACTTATATTGAGTACAAAGTGGACACTTGGTATGCATTGATTATGTGTTTTATACTGTTTTAAGTATATCAAACCTTCAACAAACCTTTGTGATAAATATTATTATTGTCTCAAATTCATAGATGGGAAAACTGAGACAGAAGTTGAATAGTTTGTCAAAGGTCACACAGCTGGAAAGTGGTAGAACTAGGATTCAAACCCAGGCAGTATAGCTGCAGATTCCATCTCTTAAGTCATGTGAAAACCACACACCTCTTTATGAAATTCAGGTACAATATCTCTGATATACAAAATGGCAAAAATAACTTTGAACTCTGGTCAAAGAGTCCAATAATGACAGTTAATGTCTTCCTAATAACTATTCCCTATTTAAAAATATTAACCTCGGCAGCAGACAGCAGACACTCTTGCTGCTGTCCTGTCCATTGTGCCCTTCACAATGTATCTTCTCTTTAATAAATCTACCTTTCTTAACTCAAAAAAAAAAATTAACCTCCAAATTACAATACAGACACATGGGAATTTATATGAGGGTAAATGATGCACACATATTAAATCTAATTACTTGACAATAATCTTATTAAATATATACCTACAATTATTACAAAGTAATTTATTGTGCTTTTAGTTCTAATATTTACTAACCTCCTACTTCTGTTATAAATTTCATTTTAAGTTTCAAAGACTTTTATAAAACCAACTTGTTCATGCAAAACAAATCTCTGTCATGGACATTTTAAAAGTAGAACAGTATATTAGAAATGCTTTCAGTATAATATATCTTAGGGGCCTTACTTGACTATAATATTTTAACTAGTAGTAGCACATTTTTAAACACCTTACCTTGGAGAATCCAAGTTCCGCAAGTAATCTGTCAGCTACAAACTCAATGTACTGTTTCATCAAAACACAATTCATTCCAATGAGGCCAACTGGCAAAGCTTCTGTTAAAAACTCCTGGAAGGTAAACAAAAAGAGAATCAAGTACAAACAGCACAATAAATATGTATTTTCCAAATAGAACAAGTGTTTTGGTTTTATTAACTTTCTAGGCATGATTTTTGTTCAAAAAAGTATACTAGGATATATTTTTTTCAACATGGCAAATGATGTCTATTTGTTTAAAAATGTCTAGGGTATTACTATGCACATTATTTCACATTCTCAAAGAGCCAAAATAAATGGATACTACCAACTGACTAGTTTTTTTTAAGCAGCACCTATAAGACTCAGTTTCATATATGCTTTCTCAATAGGAAAAAGGAGATGATTTGTTCTAAAACATCTAGAAAAAGACTCAAAGATAATTGTCACGAGAACATGACTATGGAAGGGAGTTGAGAAGCAAAGAAAATTCAATTAACAAAGAATATGAGAAAAAATAGAAGTGGATCTGAACTCCAACCATATGGGAAAACAGTGGGAAAGTGTCATAGAGGAAAAATAAAAACGTATTAACCACTTGGATTTAGTTCTCAAAATGATTGGTTATCAAAAAAGCATTTTATGCCATTTTCCCATCACAGTGTGATAACTATGCCTGTTAAACTATACAGTGTTAAAAAGTAACAGTTAAAACAATTAATTTATTTTTAAACTAGTTGTTTAGAATGATAAATCCTAACTGGAGCACCTAGCTCTTTCCAGTAAGAAATCTTTACATGCTATAAATCAAGTTTTACTATTCACTAATTTATTTATTCATTCTATAAACATTTGTTGTATGCTTCAAGCTAGGTTCCCTGCCAGGTTATTGAAAATACAAAACAGGCCGGGTTCAGTGGCTCAGCCTGTAATCCCAGCACTTTGGGAGGCCGAGGCGAGTGGATTGCCTGAGCCTGCGGGTTCAAGACCCGCCCAGGCAACTTGGCAAGACCTGTCTCTACAATAAATCAAAAACTAGCCGGGCGTGGTATCATGTGCCTGTAGTTCCGGCTACTTGGAAGGCTGAGGAGGAAGGATCGCCAGAGCCCAGCAGGTTGAGACTGCGGTGGCTGGGAGCGTACCACTGCACTCCAGTCTGGGTGACAGAGTGAGACTCCAACTCAAAAAAAAAAACAGAAAATACGAAACAAGAAACCATCACTGCCCTCTAGTTGCTGAAAAGATAAAGTTGCAATAATTAAAATAGTTTATTACACTATTATTACATAGTTTATTATCATTAAAATAGTTCATTTGACAGATTAATGAGACAGAAAAATAGCCCTTAAACAGATTTTAGTATATATAAAACTTATAATGAAGACTAATTTATAAGCCAAATTATAAACTGACATAATAATTGTAACATCGCATGTACTGGTAATGTTAGATGGACCGTATAAAATTGCTGATATTTATACTGACCTCCAAAATGACAATTTCATGTGAGTCAGCCTAATATAATAGTACAAACATCAAAGAAAGAGAGATATGCTAACTATACCTGCTTACCTGCTCAATTTTAACAGCATCAACAATAATTTCCCTGACTCTTTCTTCTGAAGGCTTATTTACTAAGTACTGAAATATCAGGCAAGCAAAGTCACAATGAAGTCCCTAAAACAGAAGAGAAATGCCATTGTCAAAGAACTTTTAACCAGCTATTTGCACACAATGATGTGTCACACCTCACACAAAGTAGGTTCTAGGAATGTAACATGAAACACACGGAAACAGAAGAGGGATTAATAGGGCCACAAATGTCTTTCCTTCAAATCTCATTAAATGCCAACACAATAAACTACAATGAAAAATTTTTAATGCCACCAAATCTTAGTTCATCGACATTAAAGAACAGTTAATTTATAAGCAAACAAAATCTGCAACTAAAAGCGTTTTGGAAAGAAAAATAAAGCAGAAGGGGCTGCAATGAAAATTCATTAATTTTTAAATTTCAAAAAAATGAAGGAATGATTGAAAAATAAGTAGTATTTAAAGACCAGCTGAAATTCAGAGATTTCAAAAACACATTAAATAGGAATGGCTCAAGACAAAAATGAATTCAGCACAATGAAAATGGAAGCTGAAGAATAACGAATACCATCTGAAGCTGTATATAGCAGAGATGACACTGCAGATAAGTCAACCAGAAAAGAAAATAAACTTGTGAAATACCTCTGAGAACACAATGGCTATGGAAATACAATAAATATTATAGAATCTTAAGTAACTAAAGAACAAACCAAGGAGATTCAACCTATATCAGGATTCCAAAATATGGACTAGATAGTATAAAGTTGAAAATCAAAAGAACAGAAAAAAAATTTTTAAAGTTCAAAATAAAAAGAGAGCAGTCAGATGAAGAAAAATGGAACAAAATTAATAGTTAGACTGACACCAAGGCTGAAAAAATGTTAAATAAAGTGTTAATTAGAACTGACAGTTAGCTACCTATTACAAAGACAAGTAAACCTAAGATAGAGACTCATTAATTGTCAAATCGATACATTAAAAACATTAATTTTGAAGTATAAAGCAATTCCAAATAAAATCCCAATGGGATTATTTTCAATTAAAAAATTAATCTGGAAAAATAAATGGAGGAATCTTGTAAGGACACTTTCAAAAGGTAAGTTTTGAGATGTATCCTACCCTTAAAACATATAAAATTATAATAATTAAAATAGTTTGTTATGGCATGAGATCTGACAGGTCAATAAGGCAGGAAAAATAGCCATGAAACAGACCTTAGTATAATGAAAACTTAGTATATAATAAAGAAGACCACAAAAGTCAATAAAGAAAGAATGAATAACAGAGAGAAGTGAAAAAACTTAGCCGGGCTCGGTGGCTCAGCCTGTAATCCCGTGTCTTTGGGAGGCTGACGTGAGTGGATTGCCTGAGCCCGCGGGTTCGAGACCCGTCTGGGCAGCGAGACCTCATCTCTACAATAAATCAAAAAATCAGCCGGGCATGGTAGTGCATGCGTGTAATTCCGGCTACTTGGAAGGCTGAGGTGGAAGGATTGCTGGAGCCCAGCAGACGAGGCTGCGGTGGCCGGGAGCAGCCACTGCACTCCAGTCTGGGCAACCGAGTGAAACTCCAACTCAAAAAAAAGAAGAGACTCCAACTCAAAAAAAAGAAAAAACTTACCAAGAGAGTTTGAAAAAAATTAAGTTAAATTCTAACTTATTTTATACTATATTTATACTAAATTAGGGACTTATACCAAACAAATTCCTATTGCATTAGAAAATCAAATGTTGAAAAGCTAAGAAGAAAACATGTGTGAATATTTTAGCTTATCTCTGGAAATAGACCACAAAAAATTTATTAAAGTATTGCATGTTAAAATAACAAAATTAATAAGCAAAGGACAAAATGGGAAATTATTTTCAGTAAATATAACAAAATTCATATTTTATATTATGAAGGGGAACCCCCAAAACAGAATTTATTTATTTATTATTATTTTTTTTTTGAGTTGGCATCTCACTCTGTCACCCAGACTGGAGTGCAGTGGCCGCTCCCGGCCACCGCAGCCTCGACCTGCTGGGCTCCGGCGATCCTTCCGCCTCAGCCTTCCGAGCAGCCGGAATTACAGGCGTGCGCTACCATGCCCGGCTGATTTTTTGATTTATTGTAGAGATGAGGTCTCGCTGCCCAGGCGGGTCTCGAACCCGCGGGCACAGGCAATTCACTCACCTCAGCCTCCCAAAGGCGCGTAATTACAGACTGAGCCACCGAGCCCGGCTAGAATTTATTTTAAAATTGTGTATTTATTCTTACATGTTTAAACTTCAGTCACCTTCAAAATACTCTCTGTTTGATGCAATACACCCATCGAGACACTTTTTCCACTGCTTAAAACAGTTTTTGAACTTGTCAATTTTTATGCCTTTTAGTGTTTCTGCCAGTTTTTTTGTTGCACCTCTTCCACATCAGCAAACTATTTCCCTTTGAGGGCTTTTTCATTCAGGGAAACAAAAAAAAGCTGCTCAGGGTGAGATTGGGTATAGGGTGGTTGGGGCACAGCGGGTCATGCCATTTTTGGTAAAAAAAACTTCTGAACACAGATTGCAGTGTGAGCAGGTGTGTTGTCATGGTGGAAGAACCAGTCAAATGTTTGCCACACTTGTTCTTTTCTTCTGCAAATAGTGACACAACCTTCTCAAAACATTCAGATAAAAACTTTGGTTGACCATTCGATCTGGAGGAAGAAATTCCAAGTGCACTACAAGGGGCTCATTCTCCAAAAGAGAATTCCGTTTTTTGGGGAGTTCCTCTCTCGTATATTCAAGTAATAAATATAACAAATTCAATAAAAAAGTACTTGTTGAAAGAGCCCAATGAGTCACACTACATTGGGAATATGCTAATGAGCAGGGCAAGCATTACTACCTCATTTAAGGATTGTAGACTACTGCGCAAATAACCTTAAAATACTAAGAGCATGTTACTAATCAGTGTAGCTAAAACGTGTGTGTGTGTGTGTGTGTGTGTGTGTGTGTGTACTCTTTATATATATTTATATATAAATGCTCTTTATAACTGCTTTACATATAAAAAGAGCACTTATGTGCTCTTTTTATATGCACTTTATATATAAGGAGCACTTATAGTTAAATAAGGAAAATGTGAATATTGAAACAGAAGTAGACAAAAGACAAAAATAGGTAACTACAGAAAAAATGACTAATACTTATTTTTAAAAGTTCAATCAAAGTAGTAATTAAGCAAATACAAATAAAGCCAATAATGAGATACCAATCACCCCATCACATTTGTCAAATACTAAGCAAATTAATCCAAATTCTGGTGAGAATATGGTAAAAATATGTTCATACATTGCTAAGAGAGAACTAAAAAATGTTATAAAATTTTTGGAAAGAAAACTGCAAATAAGTACAACTTAGTAATTTTACTGTTTATGATTAAGCTTAGGAAAATAATATAAAGTTGGGATGAAGTTTATATACAAAGATATTCATTTTACATTATAGCTAAACAAATAAAAATCCAGGAAACAATCTAAATTGCTAATTATGGAATAGCCAAATAAATGATACATTCATTCATTAGAATATTATATATATATAAAACTACTGCTTTAAGAAATGCTTAATGTCATAGAAAAGTGATCACAATATTTTTTCAAGTGGAAAAAAGAGCATCTCACCTCATAAAAATATGAATGGTAAAAATATGTTTATATATCTAAATAGATTTAAATGTAGAAAAAGGTCTAGAAACAAATACAAATAGTAAATGTGGTTGTCGCTATGCTAAGACTGAGTAATTTTTATTCTCTTAATTCTTTATAATAACTATATATGGCATCTCTAATAGAAGTTATTAAAAATTTTAAGACATGAGACAGTAAAAAAGTAATCATATAAAGGATTTTATGGCACTTAAAAAGTACTTTCAGCCGGGCTCGGTGGCTCAGCCTGTAATCCCGCGCCTTTGGGAGGCTGAGGTGAGTGGATTGCCTGAGCCCGCGGGTTCAAGACCCACCTGGGCGGCGAGACCTCATCTTTACGATAAATCAAAAAATCAGCCGGGCGTGGTTGCGCACGCCTGTTATTCCGGCTACTCGGAAGGCCTGGGCAGCGAGACCTCATCTCTACAATAAATCAAAAAATCAGCCGGGTGTGGTAGTAACATGCCTGTAATTCCGGCTACTTGGAAGGCTGAGGCGGAAGGATCGCCGGAGCCCAGCAGGTTGAGGCTGCGGTGGCCGGGAGCAGCCACTGCACTCCAGTCTGGGCGACAGAGTGAGACTCTAACTCAAAAAAAAAAAAAAAAAATACTTTCACATATATTGTTTCATTGCATACTAACAAAATCCTGTTAAGTTTTATGTTGAAGAAACCAAATTTCAGAGAAATTAAGGATTAGTGTAGTCAATAAATGTGAGTTGAATGGCCATAATGGGCCAAACACTAAAAACAGAAAGAGAAGTAAGACAAAGTGTCTGTGCTAAAGAGCTTAGGGTCTAGCAGAGGAGAAAGATAAGAAATGCAATACATGTTATGGACTCTCAGACAGGAATAGGTTCAGGTTTCAAAGAGATACTTAAAGGAAAGAGTGGTCAATCTCACCTAATGGGGTCAGAGAACTTTTTAGTTGCCTCTTGTGAGAAGTTGATCAAAAAAAAAAGTGAAATGCAATCGACAGCAAATGTGGTTGTAAGTCAAAAAAATGTGAAAGAAAAAGTTGTAGGAAAGTTGGAAAGGGTATCAAAAAACAGAGGAAGACAAGATTTAGTTATTGGTTGGATATGACTGAAAAAAAAAAGGAAGAAATCTAAACAGAAAGGAAGAAATGAATCTAAAATGATTCCTAGATTATAAATGGGATGATTGAATAGAAGGGTAGTGCTCAATGAAATAGGAAAATCAGAAGGAAGAAGTTGTTTGGGGAGAAAGATGATGAGTTCGATTTTTTAAATAATAGCTTTGAGATACTTGGGGAACCTTCCAGGATAAAACATCTAACGTGCACTAGAATATATAGGTTTGGAGCTCAGTAGAGTATATATGGGACAAAGGTGAAGTTTGAGGCGTTATGAGCATTTAGATGGTAGCTGATACCATGAGAATAAATAGGATCACCCAGGAGGTCATACAAGTGAAGGAGTGAGGCCAAGGCAGGAATCTAGAGGACACTGATATTGGGAGATGAGCAGAGGAGACTGAGGAAGAGTGGTTAGAGACACAGGAGGAAAATGCAACATCTTAAAAACCAAGAAGTGACTATTTTCTTCTAATTACCAGGATACTTGTGCCACCACAAGCATTTTCCAGGAGAAAAAAATGAACATCAAATATGAATATAAACACCAGTAGAAAAACATTTCATTCCTTACTTCATCTCTGCTGATGAGTTCATTGGAAAAAGTGAGCCCAGGCATAAGACCTCTCTTCTTTAGCCAGAATATAGCAGCAAAAGATCCCGAGAAGAAAATTCCTTCCACAGCAGCAAAGGCCACCACTCTTTCCCCTGGGAGACATAATATTTCTAATACCACATACTGCAGACATTTGCAAGTCTATATCGTTTTGTTTTGTTTTTAAATAAATACCACAATTATTTTGCCTAGAAACAAAATATGCAAGTTAGTGCCATGACCAAGGGTCTTAAGAGGAGAAAATTTGCCACCTCCATCTACTACGGGAGAAAGGTATGTCTACTTAAAATCCTGTGTCAGACAATGGACTTCTATAGGTCTTGGTGTGTGGACAAAGGATGGCTTTCCAAACTCAAAAAGAGGTGACTTACTGTGCACCAAACAAGCCTGTGAGTACAGAAACATGCTTATGCATGCAATATGTGTATATACATGTGTGTGTTAGAGTGGAGGGTATAAGGCTGACTTTATGACAAAGGTCTTCCTCTGGAGGAGGGGAGGTTACTGAGGCTTATACTTTTAGAAACCTATAGTATCTTACAGACTAGCTATAAATGTTTCAAAAAACATTGCCATGAATCTGCAATTTAAAAAAATATATAGATAAACCCAATGAGGATAATAAATATATCTATTAGATAAAACGTCCCATCACATAAGCAAAAATCCTGTCTTCTGCTAAACATATAAGGGTCAGTTTCAAAGGTTTACTCACTATTAGACAAGGACTTTGTAGAAGACTATCTCCTGAAATGTCTATAGTGGCATCATACCTGTAACACTACCCTGAGGGGATGATGACAGGTCTAACTCAAAAGGTCATTCATATGCCCCCATGTCACCACATTGCATATGTTTGAGAGAAGTATTTATGTGTGTCTGTCTAGGGGAAAAGGTTTGGTCTACAAGAATGTAAAACAGGTCGGGCTTGGTGGCTCAGCCTGTAATCCCAGCACTTTGGGAGGCCGAGAAAACTGGATCACCTGAACCTGCAGGTTTGAAGCCAGCCCAGGAAACTTGTTGAGACCTCGTCTCTACAATAAATCAAAAATGAGCCGGGCATGGTAGCATGTGCCTGTAGTTCTGGCTACTTGGAAGGCTGAGGTGGAAGGATGGCCAGAGCACAGCAGGTCGACGCTGGGGTGGCCCTGTGAGTGTGCCACTGCACTCCAGCCTGGGTGACAAAGTGAGACTCCAAGTCAAAAAAAAAAAAAGAATGTGAAATAAAGGCAGCTTGAGTGACCTACAGACTTTTTTCATAGATGGCATCATGGTTTACATCTCAGGACTTGTTGCAGGACCAAACACATAGAAGTCAATTAATAAATATATCCTGAACTGAAGAAATGGAAATTATGTAAGTACTAGATGGCAAAAAACATTAAAAGCTATTCTGTAGAAATTGCAAAACATTGATGCAGGAACTGAACAAATATTTATAATTTCCAGAACAAATATAATATTTAAATTTAAAAAAGAAAGATGACTAATTTTAAATATTTTTGCCTGTCTCTAAATAATGCTTTCGTTTGTCCTTGTTCTTTTCCATGATTATATTAAACAAACCAAATCAGATCGATCATTATATCAAATATTTGGTAATCCAAATTGCCTATTAATAGCCTAAAACATGAGAAAAACTTCTGGGTTTTTTTTGAGTGGGAGTCTCACCCTGTCACCCAGGCTGGAGTACAGTAGCACACTCACAGCCACCACAGCCTTGACCTGCTGAGCTCACGCAATCCTTCTGCCTCAGCTTTCCAAGTAGCTGGAACTATAGGAGCGCACTACCACACCTAGCTTATTTTTTTATTTATCATAGAAATGAGGTCTCACCAAGTTGCCCAGGCTGGTCTCAAACCCCTGAGTCAGGCAATCTTCTCGCCTCGGGAGAAAAACTTCTATTTTATTTTTATAGACACAATTTTAAAAGTTACTCTGGAAATAAAAGAAATACATATTAACAAAATACTTGTTAAATACCTATTGTATAGAAGAAATTATGAAAGAGAAGAATCTTTAGTGTGGAATATGCTAAACATTAAAATATAATAATAATAATCACTATGCTTAAGATAGATACTTGTCATTAGTTTAACATGTTTTACTATATTTTTTCTTACTATTAATAAGATGACTGGTAGTTACAATTGATATACTTTTAATTGACATTAAGGTAATATCATATGGACAATTATCTGTAAGGAAAGTAGATGATAGTTAAACACAAACATTGTGAATAAAAGAAACATTTTTATTTTTCTTTCTTTTTTTTTTTAGTTGGAGTCTCACTCTGTCACCTAGGCTCAAGTACAGTGGCATGCTCACAGCCACCCCAGCATCAACCCACTGGACTCCGGTGACCCTTCTACCTCAGCCTTCCAAGTAGCCAAAAACACAGGCACACACTAACACACCTGGCTAACTTTTTTATTTATTGTAGAGCCGAGGTCTTACCAAGTTGACCGAGCTGGTCTTGAGCCCGCGGGCTCAGGCAATCCACTTGCCTCAGCCTCCCAAAGTGCTGGGATTATAGGCTGAGCCACTGAATCACCAAGCACGGCCTATTTTTATTTCTTTTAGAGACAGGTCTGATTGCCCTCCAGGTTGGAGTACAGTGGTGTAATCATAGCTCACCGTAACCTCAAACTCCTGGGCACAAGTGATTATCCTGCCTCAGCCTCTAGAATAGCTGGGACTATGGGTGCATGCCACTATGCTTGGATAATTTTTTTATTTTTTTAGAGACAGGGTCTTACTATGCTACCAGGCAGATCTTGAACTCCTGGCCTCAAGTGATTCTCCTACTTCAGCCTCCTGAATAACTGGAATTACAGGCATGAACCACTGTGCCCAGTGGAAAGTTGTTATTTTAACCATTCTATGCATTTATATTAATAATAAAGAATGAAAATTATAACAAAGTTATAGAAGGCTATTACTTTTTGGAGAGGATTAAAGGATCATTACAAACTTTTTAGAACATATGTAAAATAAAAGGAGACTTCCAGAACATTTCTTCTAAAAATTCTAATGAATGTAAAGGACCTATGACTCACTTTAGAAAGGGGAAAATTGCATATATTTTTAAGAAAGAGCTCATTTCAATCATACAATGTACTAAGACTGTATAACCGTGCTTTTTTTGAAGCTTGAAATGTAATTTCATTACATATATTAAGTTTTACATCTATATATTTGTTTTAAAATTCTTTTTTTTTTTTGAGTCGGAGTCTCACTGTGTTGCCTATCCTAGACTGTAGTGTAATGGCACGTTCACAGCCACCACAACAGCCTCGAGCTGCTGAGCTCCAACAATTCTTCTGCCTCAGTCTTCCAAGTAGCAGGAACTACAGGCGTGTGCTATCACACTCAGCTAATTATTTTTTTTTCTTTTTTTTTTTTTGAGTTGGAGTCTCACTTGGTCGCCCAGACTGGAGTGCAGTGGCCGCTCCCGGCCACTGCAGCCTCGACCTGCCGGGCTCCAGTGATCCTTCCAGGCGGCCTTCTGAGTAGCCGGAATTACAAGCATGCGCTACCACGCCCGGCTGATTTTTGGATTTATTGTAGAGATGAGGTCTCACCTGCCCAGGTGGGTCTCGAACCCGCAGGCTCAGGCAATCCACTCACCTCAGCCTCCCAAAGGCGTGGGATTACAGGCTGAGCCACCGAGCCCGGCTAGATAATTTTTTGATTTATTGTAGAGGCAAGGTCTCACCAAGTTGTCCAGGCTAGTCTCGAACCCCTGAGCTTAGGCAATCCTCTTGCCTAGGCCTAAAATTCTTTAAAGATATTTTTTAAACTAAACAGTGTCTCAATTTTTAGAAAACTTTGTAGATGTGTAATTAGGAATTTTTAGCTCTGCAGAAATTGAATCTCGGTTTAAAACAAACTATTATTTTTTAAGGAATCTGCTTGGGTTCTCTTCAGCTAAAAATTAAGGATTATAGGAGTGAGAATGTAAAGAAAGAGCAGTTGCTATCCTGGGTCTTACCCAGTGCAAAAGTCACCCGGGTCACCAAAAATGTTATTTATTAGGCAAAACCCCAAGCCACATAAAAGAACTGCTTTTGTTAACCTGTAGCTACTAATGGTGCAGGTGGCACAATTAGGTCATAAAACAGCACTCCTTCAGCTGCTTAAGGAAAGTAGCAGTGTGTGGCAAAGCAAGACAATATTTCTATATCTTTTAACCTTATTTAGAAAATATTTAGGCAATATTTTCCATGTCTTTTGGGAGTGGGCTCCCAAAAAGGAAAGCCACCACCGTGCCCTTCACTCTTTCCCTTTCCCATCTAATTCCACACTCCACCCATTCTACTGCACCTCCACTATTTTAGAACATGTTCGTTGCTCTGAGCCCTTGAATTAGAACGCTCAATGGGGTTTGCCTTGAGATTAAGCAATATAGAGAATCTAACTGGAGTCCCTGATGTGCTTATGTGGTGCTGCCACCCTTTTGTTTTCTGTTTCTAGGTTGTCTTTCTTAGGTGATTCCTGAAACGCATGCTTTCTGTGAGCCTGTTCATCATTTTCCATCAGTATCTATCCATACTAACATTTTCAGTGCATTTTCTTGCTATTTCCTTTCTCTCCTTGTTTTTTCCTAAAGTCAGTGTTTCCCGAAGTGTGCTTCTCAAACCCCTTGTGAGGCAATCAGCTAGGTATAAAATGCAGATTCCACAGTCCCCCTTGGGCCTGCTAAATCACTCTTTGGTGAGAACCGGGATTCTACAGGGTTTTTATACAAATTCTCCAGAATACTCTCATGCACATTAAGAACCACTGCTTTTCTTGAAATGGACTAAACGCAATGCAAACATTTCTGTTTTGTCCCTGATATAGTATATGGTTCTCAGGTGTGGTCCAGGAGTCCTTGGGAGTTCCATAGACCCAGGAGATCTGTGAGATCAAAACTATTTTCATGGCCAGGTGTGATGGTACATGTCTGTAATCCCAGTACTTTGCGAGGCTGTGATGGGAGGATTGTTTAAGCCCAGGAGTTCAAGACCAGCCTGGACAACATAGCAAGACCTCATCTCTACAAAAAAATTAAAATAAAAATAATTAACTTGGCATGGTGGTGTACTTGTAGTCCCAGCTACTCAGGAGGCTGAAGTGCAAGGATTGCCTAAGGCCAGAAGGTCAAGGTGTGTGGTGAGCCATGATCATGCCACTGCACTCCAGCCAGAGCAACAGAGTAAGATTCTGACTCACACACACACATACACACACACAAACTATTTTCATAATAACATTAAGGCACTATTTATCTTTTTAAACTATCATTCATATTGTACAGTGGTATTTTCTAGAGGCTACATGACATATCTACAATAATCTGAAAATTCAAGTAAAATACTTCTCCCTTTTCTAATTACATATTTAAATGAGGTTGGATTTTCCTCACATACTTTGACCAAAGCAACAAACTACAACAAACAGAATGCAAAAGCAGATATGATAATCCAGAGCTGTCTTCTATTAAGTCAAATGTTAAAGAGACTTGCAAAAATGTAAACGCATGCTATTCTTCTAATTTTTAAAAATATATATAGTTTTTTGTTGTTTTTTTTTTTTGAATAGGAGTCTCGCTTTGTCACCCAGGCTGGAGTGCAGTGGCACACTCACGGTCACCATAGCCTCAACCTGCTGGGCTCAGGCAATCCTTCGCCTTAGCCTTCTAACTAGCTGGAACTACAGGCACGAGCCACACACCCAGCGAATTTTTTTATTTATTGTGGAGCCGAGGTCTTGCTAAGTTGTCCAGGCTTGTCTCAAACCCATGGGCTCAGGCAATCCTCTCACTTCGGCCTCCCAAAGTGCTGGGATTATAGGCGTGAACCACTGCACCCAGCTTAAAAATATATTTTTAATATATGTTTTTTAAAATATATTTTTAATAAAAATGTTATTTGTGTTAAAATGTAATGTAAGTTATTTGGGTTAAAATGTAATGAGTTGATTATTTCTTAGAATGTACTAACAAATAATTTCAAATTCCCTCAGAGTTAATTTCTAATATGGAAATATCAATAGATATAACCACACAAATAAAAGCACTTTGGAGTCCAGAGGAATTTAAGAGTTCAAAGGGCCAGAGTCCCAAAATGTTGAGACCTACTCCCTCACATAACAAATAAAACCAGAAAGTAAAGACCACCAACTATAAAATAGGTAAGAATGAGATGGATACTTAGAGCTGTTCAAATAAAATATATGAATATTTTAATTAAATGTAACAAATATTTATTAAGTAACTACTATGTATAAGACGCAATGTTAATAATTTTCTTGAAAAACTGTTATAGGATCTCAACACATTCAGAAGGATGTTTGTATTTAACTTATCTGTGAAAATAAGCCTGCTATTACAAATTTTTTCTTGTCTTGGTTGGCTTCACTAATCTTTGGTATTTCAGAAAATATATATTTGTTCCCTGAAAAATGTTAAGATTTGACTTGCTTTAAGTCCCTAAAATAAACTTCTTTTTAAAAAGTACAAACTGGGCAACCCCTTCAGGTCCCCTCCCATAGTGGGAGCCTTTCTGTCCTCTCAATAAATCCTGCTTTCTCAAAAAAAAATTTAAAAAAGTACAAACTGTGTATTGCTATAACACTCTTGCTAGATTCTCTGTGACTGACTCTTATTTACCTGTATGATATGCACTGATATCTTAATTTTTCAACTTTAAACTTATTAAATAGAATAGTTGACAGTTTTATTTTAACACTAGTTTCAAATTAATTATAGGAATAATGATTTTGGCAAAAGTGCATATTGAAACATTTATACTCCTTTCCCATGCTGTAACTTTGATTAGTACCCCATAGCCACACCACATAAAATAGTGTCATACCCTCTGAGGCAAATTTGGTCACATATAAATTACAGCTACATACCAAAAGTCGACTTTCTATCTGCTGTCCATCGCAAGGCCCAATCTGCTTTTTTCTTAACATATGGCATTGTTTCAATTGCATTAAATAAAAACTCCCTGTAAAAACAAAATAATTAATGGCAAAGTTATTCATTTGTTTTTCTTAATTGGACTAAATTTTAATAGTTTAATTAGAGATAATAATTGTAACACTATGGTATACTACCATATCTGTAGTTTTTCTATGTTCTTGCATGTCTACAAAACATAGAAATAAAAGTACTTACACAGTTACTCAAATTAAAGGTTTGGGTCTGGTCTGATACAAAATCAACCACATTCAAATATCCAATTTCTTTCATTCAAATAGTAACCAGGCCTGACCCTGCTTAGCTTCCAAGATCAGACGAAATTGGGTGCATTCAGGGTAGTATGGCCATAGACTGAATATTTAATTTCAAAACAGAATATTCTTTTTTTTTGAGTTGAAGTCTCAATCTGTCACCCAGGCTGGAGTGCAGTGGCACACTCATGGCCACTCCAGCATCAACCTGCTGGGCTCCAGCGATCTTTCCACCTTAGCTTTCCAAGTAGCTAGAACTACAGGCAAGCGCTACCACGCCTGGCTAATTTTTGTTTTATTGTAGAGATGAGGTTTCACCAAGTTGCCCGGGCTGATCTCGAACCCACGGGCTCAGGCAATCCACTCACCTCGGCCTCCCAAAGTACTGGGATTACAGGCTGAGCCACCGAGCCCAGCTAAAACAGAATACTCTAAAGAACAGTTTTTAAAGATACAATATATAAAGATTAACTGGTTTATAGAAGTTTTTTTAACCTAACAAATTATTAAGCAATAGGAACTATTATACTCAAAGTTTTCATATTTGAATAATTTTTCTCTAACATTTAGTTTTAGGATAAATTCTGCTCTTAACACAACTAAGCAATAAGATAAACCTTTGTAAATAAAATCCCAGCAGGAATACCTTTTCTTGGGATCTCTGATGTAAGTGTCTATTAGCAAGCTGTACATCTCTGAATGAACATTCTCAATGAGAATCTGAAAGCCATAGAAACAACGAGCCTCTGGAACCTGTACCTCCTGACTAAAGCGCTCCACCTAAGAAAATAAGGAAAACAGATATATTCAGTTCTGCGAGCTCCCATCATACACACTACACATCAGAATCTGGACATCAGGATTATCACTTAAAAACTGCCTGTCATGCAATAAACACGTCAGAAAGACCTTATGGATTATTTTACACAGTATCTTAAGTAGTATTATTTATCCATCTAATTTACTCCATAGTAAATTAGTTGCATAATATATTCTTAAGCAATTAAATGAATTGATCTGTTATGTGGAGATATTTCCTATGGAGTCAAATGAATTTTAGAACGTCAACCAAAAATAATAAAATTGCTTGGCAGAATTGACCTCAATTCATTTTTTCCCAACAGTTGATAGATCTACAGAAGCCTCTTCCAGTTCATGAAGAAAGTTTGTATCTTTTTGTTCTTTTAAACAAGAAATCATGCCTTCTGATCAAGCATAATAAGGTGTTTAAATGGGGAGCCATACCCAATGTTCTATTACAGAGCTCTGGAAGGTTATCAAGGTGCAGGTTCTCTAATTAAGATTAGTGGCTGGGTGTGGTGGCTAATGCCTATAACCCCAGCACTTTGGAAGGCCGAGGCAAGAGGATCACTTGAGCACAGAAGTTAGGGAAAAGCCTAGTCAATATAATGAGACCCTGTCTCTGCAAAAAAAAAAAATCAAAAATTAGCTGGGCATGGTGACGTGCCTATAGTTCCAGCTACTAGGAAGGCTGAGGTGGAAGGATCGCCTGAGCCGAGGTCAAGGCTGTGGTGACCCATGATTGTGTCACTGCATTCCAGCATGTGACAGAGTGAAACTATGACACAAAATAAATAAAAATTAATTAATTAATTAATTAATTACTAAATGAGGGCAAAAATCAAATTCACGTTAACACATTGTTAAGTAGTTTTGATTCATAAAACTACTTTACTTCATGATATTTTGCTGGTCAATATCCTTTTCTCTGACACTTCATCAGAAAAACATTTCAAAAGCTAAGCTTCATCTAGTTCATTTCTTAGACATCTTTTCTCAGGCTCAATCTAATGGTCTTACTGATATTATCATCATTTAACTGCTGAAGGGTGACAAAAGTAAAACCAAACAAAAATCTTACCAAGTTTTCATTTACAATTCCATCACTGGCTGCAAAAAAGGCCAAAATGTGAGATATAAAATACTTCTCCTCTGATTTAAGCTTGTTCCAGTGAGGGAGATCCTTTGATAAGTCGACCTGAAATGAAAAGATTTTCAAATATTTTAATTTGGACTTAAATTTTTCTTAAAATGTTTGGGAAATTAACTTCCACTCCAAAGTTATGTAGGGACATCCTATTACTAGTAAACTGGAAAAGGAAAAATGTTATCTTTACAAGGAAATAAAACAAAAACGTTATGTTAATAATAATGTATTATATTTAGGATTTTTGCTAAATGAGATTATAGCTGTCCTTGCCACAGAAAGGAAAAACAAGTAACTGTGAAATTATGGATATGTTAATTTGTTACACTATAGTAGCCATTTTACCATATAACATCATGTTGTATACCTTAAATATGCACAATAAAATTTATTTTTAAAAAATTATGAAGACATTAGATTTTCTAGCTAATTGAGAAGCTGACCAGGATGTACTCTAAAAATATGAAAACTACCATAATCTTGTGGCCTGGAGCAAGTGAAAGATGGGGTACAAGGTAAGAAGAGGGAGTAAAAACTAGTCTGAAATAAACTAATGACCCTCAACAGTAATTGCTTTAACATTTTGTACAATATTTACTATGGTGTTAGACAAATAATTATATACATGTTAACCATCTGCAACTGATACTTTACTTCCAGGTAATTTACTTTTATATCCAGAAGTAAAATCAGGCAGGTAACAATGTGGTTATTAAATCAATTTATAGGTATGGCTTCTACCGGGAATGGAAATATTTTCAATGTTCATTAGAACTAGTCCTTGGAATGAAGACAGATACACTCTAAAATATGGTGAAATATACAATTTAAAAATGTCTTTAAATGCACCTTGTTGTCTTAGCTCTGGTTGCTATAACAAATTACCATAGATTGGGCGGCTTAAACATTTATTTTTTGCAGTTCTAGAGGCAGGAAGCCCAAGATAAAGATGCCAGTATGGTTGAGTTCTTGGTGAAGGCCCTCTTCCTAGTTTATAGATGGCCACCTTCTTGATGTATGCTCAGATAACACAGAGAGAAATAAATCATCTCTCTCATGTCTCTTCTTAAAAGGGCACTAATCCAGGCCGGGCACAGTGGCTCACGCCTCTAATCCCAGCACTTTGGTAAGCCAAAGGTGGGAGGATCACTTGAGCTCAGGAGTTCGGGACCAGCCAGGGCAACATAGCAAGACCTCATCTATATAAAACATCAAAAAATTAGGTGGGCATGGTGGTATACCACTGTAGTCCCAGCTACTCAGGAGGCTGAGGTGGAAAAATCACCTGAGCCTGGGAGATTGAGGCTGTGGTGAGTCGTGACCGCATTGCACTCCAGCCTGGGTGACTGAGTGAGACCCTGACTGAGAAAAAACAAACAAACAAACAAAAACCCTGAGCACTAATCTCACTCACAAAGGATCCAACCTCATGACCTAATCAGTTCCCAAGGTCCACACCACCGCCTTGGAGATTAGGGCTTTGACATTGGAATTTTGGGGACATAAACATTTAGTCCATAGCACTTGTAGATATCATTTTGTCTTAGAAAAATCTTTTAAGTATGTTTTACAATAACTTCATAAGCATTTAAAATATGTAATTATTCTCTGTCTTTTGCCCTTCTTTTATTTATTCTAACATAGACCCAATCTCTGATCTTTCAAAAAAAGGACTAATGTTCCATTCATTAAATCATTTGTGTCTTTTTTAAAATCCTTTTTTCCATTAATTTATTTTTTAAGTGTTTCCTGAGCACTTACTACATGCCAGACACTGTGCTAAGCACTGGCGATACAATGGGCAAGGAGGGAGAAATACTTGTCTTCATCTTTTAAAATATGCAGATAAAAGTCAAGTCCTGTTCTATTAAGAGCTCAACTCAGGCTTAACTGTAGGACATCTTATTGGCTCTTATGTATTATACTCCTGATATTATCTTTAACATTATAATATGCTTTCTTTTAAATATTAAAATTATTATCCCCTGAGGTGAGTGGATTGCCTGAGCCCATGGGTTCGAGACCCACCTGGGCAACTTGGTGAGACCGTATCTCTACAATAAATCAAAAAATTAGCCGGGCATGGTAGCGCAGGCCTGTGGTTCCAGCTACTTGGAAGACTGAGGTAGAAGGATCACCGGAGCCCAGCAAGTCAAGGCTGTGGTGGCTGGGAGCGGCCACTGCACTCCAGTCTGGGCGACAGAGTGAGACTCCAACTCAAAAAAAAAATGAAAGTTATTATCCCTTTGAACATACAGTTTCAAAGGTCTTATAAATTTTATTTATACTATATTGGTCATATTTCCTTTCAGAAAGGTAAACCCTCCTGCCCATCTTATCACATTTGAGCAAATTCTCAATTTCACCATCTAAATACTGATTCCAAACTGATTATCAGAATTGCCAGGCCGGGTATGGTGGCTCACACCTACAATCCCAGCACCTTGGGAGGCTGAGGTGAGAGGATGGCCTGAGACCACGGGTTCAAGACTAGCCTGGGCAACTTGGCAAGACCTCATCTCTACTATAAGTCAAAAAATTAGCCAGGCGTTGTGGCATGTGCCTGTAGTTCCAGCTACTTGAAAGGCTGAGGTGGAAGGATCACCTAAGCCCAACAGGTCGAGGCTACAGTGGCCGTGAGTGTGCCACTGTACTCTAGCCTGGGCGAGTGACAGAGTGAGACTCCAACTCAAAAAAAAAAGAAACAAAGAAAGAAAGAATTGCCTGAGTGGCTTAAGAAAAAAAATTCCCAAACCCCAGACCTTTTATCTTTTGAATTAGAAGATAAATATGGCTGTTGATCAGCCATATTTAAGAATTAAGCTCAACCACTGACAAAACAATGAAATCTAAAGTTAATTAAATCATAACATACATAATTTGTATAAATGAAAAAATTCGTGGAGCTAAAAATGTGTTTGACTTCCCATCCAAATATGTATTTGAATCTTCCTATAAACTACCTATAAAATATTTGCCAACCTGTATATCTTTGCTGTTAAAAATTAATGTTTCTCAGTCATAGTAGAACATGCATCCACTTGCTAAAAGATGCAAGTAATTTACAAATAAACATCATGAAACCCAAGAATCACAAATATCTTTTTCACATGATGGATGAAAAAGCCACCTGTGTACTCCCTGTGTTCTCTGAACCGTATCTAAAAACCACAGACAGTTAGAGACAGTCAGGTGTGCCAAGCGTTATGACTCAGTATAAAAATACTAGGGGTTTGTTTTGGTGTGGTTTGGTTTTTTGTTCTATATGTCAATCACAATATAATAAAAATGCAGACAATATAACAACATAAGAAGGATGGGTAAGTGGGTAAAATTAGTGTAATAGAAGTTTCAAACATTGGTACCTTCTGATCTCTAAGTTAAATCTTCCCCCATTCTTTGCATAAAATAATTGTTTGCATTCATTTAGTGCTAAGTGCCAAGTACCATTCTAAACATCTCATTAATCCTCATGACAATCCAAATAGCTAAGTGCCATTATCCTAATTTGCTGATGAGGACACACAGAGATGTTGAACCACTTTCCCAGTTTCACGGCTAGTAAGTAGTAGCAGAGGATCTGTTTGGCAGCCTGACCCCAGAGCAGCCAGCATTCTCTGTTTTTGTTTTGTTTTGTTTTGTTTTGTTTTCAAGTCGGAGTCTCACTCTGTCGCACAGTCTGTATGGCACACTCACGGCCACTCCAGCATCGACCTGCTGGGCTCCGGCGATCCCTCCACCTCAGCCTTCCAAGTAGCCGGAACAGGCACAGGCTACCATGCCCAGCTAATTTTTTTATTTATTGTAGAGATGAGGTCTCCCCAAGTTGCCTGGGCTGGTCTTAACAGCATTTGTTTACATGTATAGAATAAATTTCTTGAAAAATAGATGGATCCAAATAGATATATCTATCTATACAGATACATATACAGAAATACACAGAGCAACACTGCTATGCAGGTATCACATTTAAAGATGAAGATAGTAACTATTTGTCTATTGAGTTAGCTACAGAGCAACCATCTGCATTACAACTCTCCTGACCAAATCAGCAGGTGTTTTCCAATTTGCTGTGTTCAACTCATTTCCTAGGTGGAACTAACAGGAAGTCTTCTACGTCTGATGTGTTAGGGCAGCTGTGTCAGGTTTGATGTGACTGAGGGCAAGATCAGACTGGGAGAAGCACTAGGAATTCAGCCCTCCGGAGTGAGTGCATCCGGGACAAAGTCTTCAGGTGATGGCTCCTTTTGTATAATCAGATAAGTCTCTCAGTTGGAAACAGGTCCCTTAAGCTTTCACTCTTTCGTTTTTGTTTTTACTACAGTTGCAATTTATTTATTCTGCTAACCATAAGTAAAGACTAGTCTTATTTGGCCACAGCAAACTAAAAGTCTATTTAAAAATAGAAAATGTTCTAAAATATATTGGAAGTAAAAATCTAGCAGAATGAGATGCCATTTTTGCAGCAGAAAATTTGCTTATAGAAAATAGCTTAAAACACTGGAGAACAATGTTTTAGTCTCAATAATTCCAAAGCATATCTTCTACAACTGATCTTATTCAATGTATCTTATAAGCTAACATTTTTTAATATCCTGTAACCCAAGAAGTGAACACTGTACTACAGGACACCAATGCTGATGACAATGTTGCCACATACCTCTTCTGCTGTCCAGAAGGATGCCTGGGCCTGCTTATACATTTTCCAAATATCGGGGTACTGGATTGGAAAGATGACAAATCGGCGAGAACTCTTTCTGAGGAGTGGTTCTTCATTTGACTTCACTTTATTTTCATTGGTATCTGAAGATAATCTCTATGAAAAATAAAATACAAAAACCCTTTTTATGTAGACATTTCCTCTTGATTCATACCTACACATACATCTGAAAAAGTCTGGGACTGTATAGGTTTGAGTCCGTCTGCCTGGGCTGAATCCTTACTGTTATCTGTAGCTGGCGAATACTGTTTGTTTAGTGTGTGACCGTAAAAAGTTACTTAACTTCTCTGAGCCTTAGTTTCCTCAGCAGTAAAATAATACCTACCTCATTGGTTTATTCTGATGATTAAAAGGGCTTTAAACTGAGGCTGGTGTATCGTAAGCACTCAAAAAAAAATGTAACTATTGCTATTTTGAGGATAAGTACAAAGGTCGACCCATAATGTCATGGTGGACAAATTGCTAACTCTGTGAACAAAATGAGCCTTTAGTGTCTCTCTAATATAGAATGCTGGCTTGAATAAGCTACTACTATAAGCTACTTTTTTATTTTAATGTTTTTCTTTCTAATCTTACCTGAAATACTATGATACTTATCTGAAAACCCCTAACCCACAACTTAATCTTTGTTCATCTTAACCTTCCATATACGAGTTTATTATTGCTATTTACATTTTAACATCACTTTACTGCACATGATCTCACTGTGAGCTGTCTCAAAACTTTGTGAAGTGAAAAACACAAACCTACATTCATACTGCTTCAAACATAATGGCACTCTAAGGGTGAACATTGCCATGCATATACTTTTTAATAGTCAACAGGAATATCAGAAGAGGATCAGAAGAGTTGCACACACATGAGAATGACTATAAACAAAGTATGTACAAATAGGTGAGACATGTATAAATCAGGACTGATAGAATACATTTAAATTCTAGACTCCTGATCAGAACTCTCTCCCTCTTCTATGCCAGGCCCGTCCTGTCCCTTCATCCTTACCTCCACCAACTGCCCAACACCCTCCAAAGCAAGTGTTATTGTGGATGAAGCTAAGGCTAGGCAAGATGAGAGAAAAGTCCTTCATAAAAAGCATGAGGGTGGAGCGTGGTGGCTAATGCCTGTAATCCCAGCACTTTGGGAGGTGGAGGTGTGAGGATTGTCTGAGTCCAGGGGTTCAAGACCAGCCTGGGCAACATGGCAAGACCTCATCTCTAAAATAAATAAAAAGATTAGCTGGGTGTGATGACGTATGTCTGTAGTTCCAGTTACTTGGAAGGCTTAGGTGAAGGATTCTCCAAGCCCAGCAGATCAAGGATGCAGTAGCCATGAGCATGCCACTACATTCCAGCCTGGGCAACAGAGTGAGACTCCAACTCAAAAAAAATAAAAAAAATAAAAATAAAAACATAAGGCTATACAAATAAAGGTGTGGCTTGTGCACTTTACACATATGCCATCATAGCACTGACTATCTTGTTTTATACCTACTTGTCTAAGGGTATGGGACTCCCCAGATACAGCACTTGAGCCCTGGAGAAGAGGGACTCATTTTTATTTGTTGTGGTGTTTCTGGAGTCTAGTAATGTGTAGAGCATAGCATGAATAAATATTAGCTAAGTAAATGGGCTGCTAATTTCTCTCATCTTGTGATCATATTACTGGGTAATTTTAGAAAATCTTATTTTAACATAGGACCATAATACATCAGTAAGATGGTCTAATAACCAATGAAATCAAACCTCTCTTAGTACCCACGTCTCACCCTCTCCACACCATCCCAAAGGCCTGGGTTAGCTTGTGAACATAGTACATAGCTCACTTCAATTTAATTCTCTGCTAATCGTCCATGGTCTCCTCTAGACTCCTGAGAGTAAAAATCATCTTCACCCTTGTAGAATCCTTAGAGTAGCACAGTACCTGGCACTTAGTTGATATTCACTTCAAAAACAGTTGAGCAATTTTTTTTTTCTTTTTGAGGCAGAGTCTTGCTCTGTCACCCAGAGTGAAGTGCAGTGGCATGATCACAGCTTACTGCAACCTCAAATTCCTGGGCTCAAGCGAACCTCCTGCTTCAGCCTCCCAAAGTACTAGGATTACAGGTGTGAGCCACCATACCTGGTCTGAGAAAATTTTAAAAATGGAACATGTCAAATTTCTTATTTGTTTTACCATTGATAGTTTGTAATCTCAAAACAGTCATAAGATACACTGCAGTTCCAGGATGTAGAACAGAAGATACACAATTGCAGGTCCTCTGGGTCTAGCATTGAGGCTGCTTTTGAACAGTTACCACATGGATACTTGCTATATATGATTCCATGTAATCCATACAACAACTCTACCAAATAGTAGCAATATTCCTATTTTTGTAGATAGGAAAACTAAGTCTTGGAGGATGTAAACAACATATCCAGGATCCTACAGCTAGTAAGTGGCAGAAATAAGAGTAGAACTGAGATATGTCTCAACTCAAAGCCTTGGCTTGCTAGGACCACTTGAGCCCAGGTGTTAGAGGCTGCAGTGAAAAACAAAACAAAACAGCCTTGCCTTAAGCGACATCTGTGTGTGGACAGGGAGCTGGAGTAGGAACAGCCAACACTCTACACCTAAAATCCAAAATTCAAAACAGTGGGATGAACAAAGTCTTAAGAGAGTATACACCATAATCTCCTGCTAGGCAAAGATAATATAACAAATGGTAGTGATGTAATCGGTGAAATGAGTTTGAGGAAGCCCACTAAATTGTACTCTCGAAATTAGAGAGAAAAATCACTCCTAGTAAACAAAATTAGAACTGAAGTGATTTGATGTTGGTGAAAAAAACAGCCAAACTTACAAGGTTTAAGGCAATGATTTTTAACTGGTACAAGTTTCAAAATCTACAGGATAATACTTTCTCAAAATGCCTTGGCCGGCTTCTCTTACAGGTGAAAAATCACTGTATGTAATGAGATCACAAAGCACGTTGTTGAGGGGGACGTGTTTCACACGTGAATGATGTGACAGTAAAAATGAGACTGAAAATCAGTGTTTCGAAAATTGTAACGTTTACAACATAACCCAATGACCAGATTTTATTCCAGATACTTCTTCATAGTACAAAATTGTTTTCACTTGTGTTCATGTTTGCAGACAAGTATTATTCTGAGCATTGTCATCAGTAAATTAAAGATAACTAACACTTGCCATATTTATTTCAAGGGACTGTTATAAAGATCAAGAAAGTAATATAAATAAAGGTGCACTGCACACTCTCAAGTACTGTACTTTTTAAAATTATGCTATAATTGCTGAGATGTTTCTGTTTGGACTTTATTTATATTTTATATTTATATATTATATTTATTTATATTTTATGAGTCATTCTGTCACTCAGGCTGGAGTGCAGTGATACAATCACGGCTCACCGTGGCCTCCAACTCCTGGGCTTAGACAATCCTTCTGCCTTAGCCTCCAAAGTAGCTGGGACTACAGGTGCACACCATTACACTTGGCTATTTTAAAAATTTTTTTGTAGAAACAAGGTCTCGCTATGTTGCCTAGGCTAGTCTTCAACTCCTAGGCTCAAGCAATCCTCTTGCCTTAGCCTCCCAAAGTGCTGGGATTATAGGTGTGAGCCACTGCACCCAGCCTGGTTGGCCTTTTTAGAGTTTTTCTTATATTCAAAGAATTATTACAGTAGTTAATGATTTGGTCAATCAGTACTTTCTATAACTGCCCTTAAGGAATTTTCATTCATGAAATAATTAGAGAACTGAAGCTGGGAATGTTGGCTGATGCCTGCAATCCCAGCACTTTGGGAGGTCATGGTGGGAGGACTGCTTGAGTCCAGGAGTTTGAGACCTGCCTAGGCAACATAGCAAGACCTCTTCTCTACAAAAAAATGAAAAAAAATTAGCCAGGCATGGTGGCACATGCCTATAGTCCCAGCTACTCCGGAGGTCGAGGCAAAAGAATTGCCTGAGCCCAGGGATCAAGGCTTTGGTGAGCCATGATCCTCCCACTGCACTCTAGCCTGGGTGACAGAGTGAGACCCCAACACACACACACACACACACACACAGAAGAAAAACTAATTAGAGACCTGCTAAAGAGGCTTCAAAAGTGAGATACAGTACTCAAAACAATTGAGACTGAATTAGAACTGAAGCCCAATTTAAAAAGCAGAGGTCTACAGTCAATGGATATTTCAAACGTATCTGGCCCAAATTGCTCTTCCTTCAATTCCTCTAGATTATGCTTTTACTATCACTTAGTAGTACTTCCATACCAATCTGTCTTTTTTGTTACATATTCTGTCAATAGGTATCTATTTAGGGCTGGAAATCTTTACCGTCACTGTATTTTTATATGGGACATATAACAAAAATTGGAAGGACACTACAAGCAGTCACCCTTTGGCACCAAGCATCCTGACCACAAATTAAGTTTTTAAATAATGGTAATCATTTAAAGCAGTGTCAGGATCTATGAAACTGCTAAAGGCTGGAACCATTAAATTAGAATGAAAGTCACACTTGTATATACATCCTTCTGTTCTATCCTAATAACATGCAGACTGTTAAGAAGCTGGATTAGGAGGGTATTATGAAAGGTTTTACAATGTGAAGAAAGGGGGTTGAGCTAGAGATAACATATTGCTTATTTCATAGCACTTACTTAAGTGCACAAACATACATTTTAATACAATTTCAGAAGGTTCATGCATCCTGAAGCTCTAGGCTTTCCAGTGTACCCTCTGTGGGCCTGAGCTAAGAACTCGTATTTTAGAAGAAAAAACAATATGAAAGAAAGGCATGATGGCATGTGACATTGTTAAAGAACTGAAAGTAATTTTTTATTTTTTTATTTTTTTTAATTGGAGTCTCACTCTTGTCACCCAGGCTGAAGTGCAGTGGCACACACAGGGCCACCACAGCCTCGACCTACTGGGCTTAGGCAATCCTTTCGCCTCAGCCTTCCAAGTAGCTGGAATTACAGACCCACGCCACCATGTCCAGCTAGTTTTTTTGTGATTTATTGTAGATACAAGGTCTCACCAAGTTGCCTGGGCTCAGACAATTCTCTCATCTTGGCCTCCCAAAGTGCTGGGATTACAGGCT